CATACTATTGTAACAAAATACTGTTTCAAATCGCTTCTTGTTCTATATAAAAACAAGTTGTTGCGCATCTTTCCAAATTGCGCGTTACAACGCGCAGTGAGCGAGCCTTATCCTTTTAGCCAATGGCTGCCTCCGATTTTTAGCCACGTGATCGTTTTGACGTTTTAACTTGCGTGATTAGGTTAGATTATTTTACTGTTTATTATTGAAAGAGTGTAATTCTTTATACTTAATTAGTGAAGTAAAACCTAATTATTGTTCTTACAGCCAAAGTACGTGTTTAATATTTTAAACTGTTATGGAAGAAGTACTAAAAGGTTGTGGCAGAAAGAAAGTTTCTAATCCAAAACAGTGGGCAAAACGCTTAAAAAAATAACAGATACAGATGTTTTAATGTTTTATTAGTTTACTGTCAAATCTGTGCTATTAGTCCAGGCTGTGAGGCCGCCCCCGTTGGGAAAATGTTTCTGATTCGGTTTCTTCGCGGATTCCGGTTCAAAAATGTCCCCTTTAAACACATCTGAAGGGTGCCGGGCGAAATTTTTGGGCAGAAATTGTTTAAAACAATTTTTTTAAACAAAGTCTAAAAATAATTTTTTTAATCTGGAAAACGTTTTTTTTAGGTTTTTTGGGCCATTTTAAACAAAAAAAGTCTCTTGTCACTTTTCTCTAAAGTTGATAGTTTTCGAGTAATAAGCGATTTAAAGTCTGAAAAACGCGAAAATACGCATTTTTGAGGCTTGAAAACACGTATGTAAATGATTATTTTTGAGGTTACCAAGTGTCTAAATCAAAGTTTAAACATTCAACTTCAAGATTGTGAAGAGTAATCGGGGCTTATTTTAATTTAGACTGTTGTTTTTTAATTGTTAAGTATGCGCGTACACTCGATTTTTCAGCCGCCGCAGCGCAGCGCGCTACCGTGCGCCTCTATCGTGCTTATCCATAGTTTACATATACTTACAAATAATTATTATTTATTGAGTATATATTTATTTATATCAATTGAGTTATAATATAAATTTCGTCTAAAGTCTAATAATAGTTACATAAAATAATTGTACAAAAGATTGTTAAATAACACACTAATATCACTCAGTAAAAGTATCTTTGTTTTCACAAAAATGTAAATCACATCCATATAATGGTACACAGTTGACATGATTTTTCTTGCAGCTGCAAGCATTAGTTTTGCAAGACTTTTTGCATTTGCACGGTTTCCCAACCCACCACTATCAGACATATAATATCCATATTGTGTAAAATCGGGAGTTTGATAGCGGGAATATATGGCATTTCGCCAAATATATGTTTTAGCGAAAGCTCTTAACAAGTGTTGGTAAAGTACGTTAGAGGTACAAGGTATATTGGCTAGATTAAATTAAATTTTTCAGTCACACTGTCTTTTCGTCGAAGAGCAGCATTTTGTATTGTTATGTAAAAATCTACTTTAGGTTTTTGCACTAACTTAATATTGTTGATGTTATTACAAAAAATACAAACTAAATTTTCTTCGGTAAGTTTTCATTTAAGAAGAGGTACGGAAAAAGACATTTTAAATCCATTCACAATTTTTTTAATAACACATTAATAATATAATACCCTTTTAATGGGCATTAAACAATAGTCTTCCTAATGATCGTTTAAGTAATAACAAATCAAGTATGAGCGCGCGATTGTTAAACAGGTAAAAACTTGCATTTTTGCGATAGTATATTGTTTTTAAACACCGCGCAAATTAAAATTAAGTTTACTAATATTAATATTTACTGCATTGTATTATTTAAATAATAATTTAAAAATATTATTTACAATTGATATAAATAAATATATACTCAATAAATAATAATTATATTGTTCAAATTTGGAAGAAAAAAAAAAACTATATACGGTTATTACATTGCGATGATTGATTTATTTAATTAGCCCAATGACAATAATTAATACCTACATAAATAAATTATGGAAAAAACTATGTTAATAAACTTCAAGGATTTGTTCGGGTTTTTTTGCGTAAGTGTATATGTAAACTATGCATAAGTACGATAAAAGCGCACTCTAGCGCGCCGCGCCGCGGCGGCTGAAAAATCGAGTGTACGCGCATATTTAACAATTAAAAAACAACGGTCTAAATTAAAATAAGCCCTGATTACTCTTCACAATCTTGAAGTTGAATGTTTAAACTTCAATTTAGACACTTGGTAACCTCAAAAATAATAATTTACATACGTGTTTTCAAGCCTTAAAAATGCGTATTTTCGCGTTTTTCAGACTTTAAATCGCTTATAACTCGAAAACTATCAACTTTAGAGATAAATGACAAGAGACCTTTTTTGTTTAAAATGACCCAAAAAAACCTAAAAAAACGTTTTCCAGATTAAAAAAAATATTTTTGGAATTTGTTTAAAAAAATTGTTTAAACAATTTCTGCCCAAAAATTTCGCCCGGCACCCTTCAGATTTGTTTAAAGGGGACATTTTTGAACCGGAATCCGCGAAGAAACCGAATCAGAAACATTTTCTCAACGGGAGCGGCCTCACAGCCTGGACTTTATAAATAATTAGTAATTCGAAAAAACTGTTTATTCAAGTATTATTTTTTCTGTATTTTTTATATTAATCTTGTTTCAGATAGCTCTTTATCCAACATGTGGCCATTCCGGTAAAACTTTTCGATGTAAATCACTTATAAATGATCTACAATCATTTCATGCCGCTTTTTATCCTTCAACAAACAAATAAATTCAAGATGCATTTCTCCTAAAATGTATTAATTTAAAAACAGTTTATGGAAAATTTAAAATGTATGGAAAGTCACTATTGTAGAGGCAAGAGTACTAGACAGTACTGGCCTTATGAGCTTGTCGTTAAAAAATTAATGAAAATGTATAACAATAGTTGCCCCGAAAATTTAAAAGTTAAACGAAGTTTTTTCAGAAAAAATTTCTGAGAAGATTATAATATTGGCTTTGGCACTCCAGTTACTGATGCCTGCTCTCGATGCATTGAGCTAACAGAAAGAATAAAAAAGAAAAGGATAAAACTATACGAAATAAGTTTATGATCGAAAAAAGTTCGCATAAGCTTCGTAGCGCAAAATTTTTTCATTTTTTGCGTGAAGAACGTGATGAAATGTTGACATTTTCATACGACTGTCAGAAAAACTTAGTTAACCCGAAAATTCCCGATCAAATAGCGTATTACAGCAGACAGCTTTGTACATTTTTTCTGTTGTTATTGGAACTTCGCATAATTCCCTCACAAACGCAAACGTCGTTACGTTTACCTGGATGGAACATGAATATCAGAAGAGTTCTAAAGAAATTGCGTCTGCAGTATTTCATATTCTTTCTTCCACTGATATAAACAACATTTCAAAATTACGACTGTGCGCCGCTGGTTGTTGGGAACAAAATGGAAATTTTGTTATGACTGGAATGTTAATGTACTTTTTAGGAAAAGTGTCTCTTTAAAAACAATTGAAATGGATTTTCCCGTAAGGGGACACTCTTTTCTTCCCTGCGATAAAATATTTGGCGGGATCGAGAGGAAATTAAAAAAAAATGCCTGTTATAAAAAAGCCAGACACCTACATAAAAATTTTCAAAGAAAGCGCAACGGTCCATAAATTCGAAAATGGCCATGTAAGAGACTGGGAACGACTTGCAAAGGAAAGTCTCAAAGGTGTGCAATCTTGGCATTTTAAAATATCACACTGTAAGCGAATCATTGTAGAAAAAAGAATAAATTTGATGTTACAGTAAGAGTAGAAGAATATTACAGTAGTGACCTTTAACATCACTGAGTCTAACACGGAGGAAGAAATAGAGATTACTGCGAAAGTTATTTTCCACAACCTGCTGAATTAAGAGTTTAATAACTAAAAATGTGTTTAGCTTTTTTGTTTTTGCTTATGTGACCATAACATTATTGTTATTTACGCCAAAATTTGTTTTAAGTATAAGATTATTGTTTTGAATAAAAATTTTCTTTCACACTACTTCCTTTGTCTACATTATTGTTATTCCAAAAAGCGTCTTGTCGACTGCGTTGTTGCAAAGTGCGTCTTATCCAAACTAATTTTTTTTTGAGCTTATGATGCAAAAACGATTTGAAAAATCTTAACGTATACTAATATGATGAGTTATTAATGAACACTAAAAAGTGTCATCCAAAAGAACCATCTGTTAAAATAAAAAATGGTTTTTTCTAATTCTTCAACATTTTTCTCGAAGAGATAAATTTCACTTTGGAATGACCCTACTCATATACTTTCTGCTGCTCTCGCTTGCGGTCATCGATTTATTGGTAAGTATGCAATTACATTGTACGTAATTATTGCATTATTGGTAAGTACATTGCAATTTTAGATTGTTAAAGGTATAACTTGTTCCGGAGGAAAAAAAATAAATTTTAAAACTTGTTCGAAAAAAATTGTTTAAAAATATTTTGATCATGATTTTCTCTTGGCAACATGCACTTTTGCTATAAGGGGACTATTTTAAGTAAGATTGTGAAAATATATGGATGGAGAATATTTTTCCTAACCAGTGCACCCATGCTACCTAGACAAAAATTTTATTAAAAAAAATTCAATTTTCACTAAAATAAAAGAAAATTCAATTTTCGCTCAAATTTTCTCAGGAAACCCACAGTTTTCACATATTTTACTCTCCCTAACTTCATCGGAAATCTGACTTTATAATAAGAGATTATTTTATTAAAATGGTCGTAGGAAAATTATTTTCACTTCCATTTCACAGTGTCAATGTTACTGTACGAGTAAAACATATTATGAATATTAAAATATTTTGAATTCACGTCATTTTCAATACAACACAATTCTCTCCTAACATCTCTTAAGACAATTCCTTAAACAATAAGTGATTAGAAAATATGAAGTTTGGTTATTTCCTACCTTCATAATTTATTTACTAGTAACGAGTCTCGTCGACTTTCATCCAAGATTATAGTTCAGTTCTTGTCAGTCTCGATAGCACTCTCGATTATTGCGTTAACGTTTTTATGCAGTAGTAGTGGTGTGGAAGATTTTCCACAAAAACTCGCCAGGTTACCGGTTCTACAAAAATAGTTGTGCGTATTAACTATACATTACTAGCTGATCAATCAGTTGTGATAGATAACAGGTGAATATTTCTTTATTCATTTATATTAATTTTTATAACATAATGTTATATTTTAAAAATATTTTGCGCATTTTAATTGACAACGGGTTTAAAAGTATAAAAAAGTAGTTTTTCGCGTATAAAATTTTTTTACTATTAGGCCAGCAACTAAAAAAAACAGCTGAAAAAATCTTATAGACGTTTTCAAAGGTTCTAAAAGGTATATGAGGGATAGCTGATAACAAATCCTTAAAGATGTATAGCTGATTTTGTTATGTTTTACCATCATAAAGTGAAAAAACATTGTTTGTTTATAAAACATTTACTTATATGGTTTAAAAAAACGGTTTAAATAAAACTTGTATATCTTGAAAGTTCTTTAATTTTCAAGTTATTTATTTTATTTTTTAATTTATTAACTTATAAACATTTATACTAACTTTGATATTTTTTTGGCAGGCAATGTAAGTAGTCTCACTGAAAAAATGATGAATTAAACATTAAAAAAACATTTTTTTTTAATTATATTTCCATTATTTATTAACATAAAGACTTGAAAATTGAACAGATTGTAAACTAAGACCTAAATTTTATGATCTATTTTAGGAATCTCCAAATTGGAGCAAGCTGAAAAAATTTGCAATATTTTTCGGATTTTATGGAACACAGAAACTTAATTCTAGTTAAATTTTTGTGTAAAAAGGTTTTATTTTACTATTATTTCATAAAAAATAACCTCAACTGGGTCAAGCTCCACTCCACATATTACCTACACATCGATCGACATTTAAGTATTAAATTTTAATATGATTATATTTTTTTAAAGTCATGGCTTGTCCAAACTTGTGTAAAATAAAAATTGTTATATTAAACTCTTTCTAAAAATTTGAAATTTTAAATATTGGTTATTTGAATTTATGTAAGATTTATGGAGTTGGTTCCTAGTCGAAAAGTTTTTCCATTTTTGAAAAATAGCATGTCCACACATGAGGACACTATGAGAAAACGGAGTAAACTGACTGTGGTATAGAAAAAAAATTATTGAAAACAATGATAATATTTATTTAATGACACGTTATACATGATTTATGTAGGTACTGTGGTACTCCACAAAACAATTGTTAATATTGGTAAAACATAAATGAACTTTGCATTTGAGGCAAGATATAAGAGATTTGCTTAAACGCGAAGCATTCTTCGATTTATCAACAGTAGGTAAATGTCCTACGTTGCCCAATCTTACTTTTTTCAATGGTTGTACTTCAATGTTTTTTCTTTTAGGGTGTTTTTGGTTCAATCATTATCGAAAGCGGTCGTCCTCTTTTTTATTGACTGTAATTTCTATAGCTAAAAGAACTTCATTAATTTCTGCGCGAAAGTGCACCAAATCTAAAATTATTTTCTTTGGTATTTGCAAATATGTTGCTTGCCTTCTATATTTTAGCCAGGCATGCATACAGATTAAAGCTATACGATGTGTGAACATTCGCAACATCCATTTGCGTGATCTAATAAGGTCCTGTACAATATTAATAGAAATTGAATTTGTCAAGACCTACCATTGATACATTTTAATCCCTTATTACCTGTGACCTATTTATTTCTATATAGGTCTTGTTTGTTTTGTCCCATAGTTTACACTTGTCGATCATCCCAAATTCTTAGAGCTCAATCAGAATATAAATCTCAATTAGTTTGATACTGTAAGTATTTGAGATAAGCAAATGAGACAATTCGCTATGTGCAAGTTCCGAAGAGTGACACCTAGTGGCATAAATCAGCAAAAGTGTTAGCACTATTATTATTTTAGTCGTATATTAGCTACAAATAAAGTGACTTAAATTTGTTTATTTAATACAATAATAATATCAATAATTAACTTGGAAAATTTTTGAATTGATTTTTAACTGTAAAAATTCGTAAGTATATTTTCTAAGTTTAGATTTCATTATTTGACATTTAAGATTGAGGTTATGCGGTTATTAAAAGGTAAACATTGTATGTAGTAAATAAAATTAATTATTAAATTCCAGTATTACTACTAATATGGATGCAATAAAAACTGGATTCCAGAAATAAATCATAAAATACCTTTTCAACCAACTATCATATTTTAATATTTTTTTAAATAAACGGTTTTACAAATTGGTATCGGATATCCAACAATAAGGTACAGTTTATTAGGAATTTTTTCATTCGTTGAAATGCGTTTTTTATGCGTTGAATTATGTAGCATATTCTATACAAGCACGTATTTCAATCTTGGGGTCAAGATCATTTGTTATCCAGCAACCGAGATACTGGAATCTTTGTACTGGTTCTATATGTTTGTTATAGATACCGTAAATAAGGGTTACTTTGGCCCTGGGGTCCTACTTTGGCCCAAATTAAAAATAAAATAAAACGTTTTTAAAGTATCTCGAGAGAGTAGATTTCAAGCTGATGTCGGTAGTTTCCGATGAAGTGCAGACCTGCGCAACTCGTAACGACCTTCAAATGTTTCACGTTTCGCCTCCTAGAACCAGCATGAGTGCTTTTGATGTTGTATGTGCAACAAGTAATTTTTTAAAGTCTCAAACTTTTACCTGCAAAAACCGTTTTACGCCTGTTATAATATTGGTAAGTACTTTTTTAACATCAGAATTTAATACGTAATGCAGTGGAATGGCTATAATTTGCATTATTTTCAGCTTTTTTTATTTTAATATTAAAAAATAAAACCAGTTCAGATAACCTCAAAAATATGACCTTCTTTGGCCCAACGTATATTTGGGCCAAAGTAGGTCTGACGTTTATTTTATTCATTTATTTTTAATTATTACCTACCTACTGTTATAAATCAACATTCTGGGTGTTCTTGTATTGAATAAATTTATTTTTAGATTACGGAAGATGCCCTATAACTACAAACGCCAACCAGGAAGCCGAAGTTATGCCGACTACAGTCAAGATCATCTCCAAACCTGTTTAGAAGCAATCAGATCTGGTGAAATGACACAAAGGCAAGCCGCAGATATTTTTAAAATACCACGAAGCACTATTAAAAACAAACTAAAAAATCTTTTTTCGAGCTCAAAGTCATCCCAAAGTTTTTACCCAGGAAGAAGAGTTAGCATTTGCTAGTCACATCGACAAAATGTGTGAATTCGGATTTCCAATTGATGAACTGGATTTGAGAAATATTGTAAAAAGTTATGTCACAAGACATGGAAAGACAATACAGTGTTTTTGCAATAATTTGCCTGGCCGAGACTGGACCAAATCTTTCTTAAAAAGACATCCTCAGCTGACAGTCAGGTTTGCATCAAATATAAAAAGAAATCGTGCTCAGATTGATAGAAAAATAATCTCAGACTACTTCGATCACTTAAAAAAAGTAGTTGAGAATGTACCGCCTCAGAACATTTATAACTATGACGAAACATGTATGTCTGACGATCCAGGCAGGAAGAAAGTAATCTGTCGTAGGGGTTCAAAGTACACAGAGTGTATCTTGAATTCGACTAAGTCCAACATTAGCGTTATGTTTAGTGGTAATGCCAATGGTACCTCTGTGCCACCTTATATTATTTATAAAGCTGAACAAGGTTGGATCGATGGAGCAACATTTGAAGATTGGTTTGCTACACATCTTCTTCCAATCTTAAAAAAACAAGAAGGTAAAAAAGTAGTTATCGGTGATAATCTTAGCTCACATGTAAGCTTAAACGTGGTCAGGCTTTGTGAAGAGAACAATATCCAATTCGTATGCTTGCCTCCAAACTCCTCACACCTAACACAACCACTTGATGTGGCCTATTTTAGGTTCTTACCGAATGGAAACAGTCTGATAGTGGCAAAACTGTTGCTACATTACCAAAAGATATTTTTCCAAGATTGTTGAAAAAATCTTTGGATGACTTAGATCTTCCACAAAAAAAAAACTTAAAGTCTGGTTTTAAAAAGGCTGGCATACATCCTTTAGACAAAGAAGAAGTATTGAAGCGCTTGCCTTCTAACAATGTGACAGTTAATTTGGAATTGGTAGGACAAACATTTATCCTCCATTTGGAACAGAAAAGGCAAGAAGTTGTTAAATCTCGTTTAATAAAACGAAAAAAAATAGACGTTCCTGCTGGTAAAAGTATAACAGCTAACGATATTATTCAGTATCAAGAACACCAAATAAATCAAAAAGGTCAAAAGAAAAAAGAAATGAAGATGGAAAACGAGAAAAAAAAAAAAAGAAAAAAAAAAAAGAAAAAAAAAAGAAAGGGAGAAACTAGAAAAAAAGCGACAGGCGGTTTCAGAAAAGAAACAAGAAGTTAAGAAACAAAAGAGGAAAATAAATAAAAAAGACATGGAACTTTCGAATTCGGAAGAAGATAGTGGCCATTACAGCGTCATTATCATCCGGTCATAGTGATATGATTCTTTCAACGGACGAAGAAGAGGAAATTAACACAGTCAGTGTTCTCCAGGAAAATCACCCAAATGTCGATCCAGTTGCATCTTCTTTCAGTGACATAAAACCCCCGGAACAAAACGAAGAAGAAGAATTAAAGTCAAATCTGCAAACAGGAAACTTCGTTGTTGTTGAATGGAATAAGCTACAGTTCCCTGGGATAGCTGTTAATGTGTCAGAAGAAGGTGCTGTTGTTGAATGCATGGAACGTACCAACAAGTGTTGGAAGTGGCCAAAAGAAAAGGACTCTTTGTTTTACAAATGGAGCGCTATTAAGAAAAAAATCCAACCTCTAAAACAGTTAAAAAGAGGACCATTTTCCGTCAGTAATTTGTAAAAAATATTAATTGTTTGCTAAAGCTTTATTTTTGTACCTTTTTAAAAAAAACATAATTTGAAATATATTTTTCTGTCATATAAATATACTGAATAAATTAACCCATGTCTTTCTTTGGCACTAACTATTTATATAATGCTTGAAAGTAGGTAAAATCATATTGGGCCAAAGTAACCCTAACATAAGGATAACATTGGCCCAATTGAACAATTTAAAAAAATTATTTATTTTTTTTAAAAA